GTACTATGGCTGTCAGCTATCTTCAGAGTCTGTGCCATGTTCTTGGGTTCAGGCAGGCTACTGCACATAAGGGACTATGGCAGTGGCTGCAGAGTCCCAAGATGGAGGCAACCAGGGGAGCCCCACGTTGGTAGATGTGGTTCCATACGGGAGATATTTTCACATGTGTCTATGTTTTGCTTAATTACTTCAAATTGTGATTTTTGCTCTAAAATTCTTAGTTATATGGACCCACAAAAAACAAATATAACATAATGCAATTTTGTAGTACCAGCTTGGAATCATATGCTTTGCCCATTTAAATTTATTATAATATTGTTGGTTATTCCTACTACTTAGGCATCAGTTAAATGAAATAAATGTTGAATGATTTATATGTTAAAGACTAACAATTATTTTAGAGTGATAATACTAAGTTAAATTGACAGTGCACAAAGAAGTTGATAGCAAGTCCATAATCTGAATATGTATTGTTTTTTTCCTAAAAATATTTCACTTTCTCTAAGAGTTTCTGGTTGTGTTCCTCTACCCATTTATTTGGTTCTTCTTTCTTTTGCCTTTATTTACCCTGTATTGCTTAATTTTGATTTTCATGTTGAGTAGTTTCTCTTCAATCTGGGGTATATCCTGAAATGAAGATATGATTGTTTGCTCCTGAAAATTCATGTGGTCTAACCCTTTTTAGAATTTTCCAAGGAACCCTGTACTCATCTGGTTTTAAATTAGGCAGAGATACTTCTCCTTTTTTCCTGTATTAAAATTGGCTCATGGGTTTCATGTGAATAGTGTTTGGACTTTTTGGATTTTCCTGTTATTTCCTCTTTTTCTTCTCACACAGACACTGGTATCATGTTACAACTTACGTCTGTGGTTTATGTACACCTTTCTGTGTTTTTGCATTTAAGGGACTAATTAATATGTCAGTTAATTTTTGTTGAAGTTATTGCCTATTTTTTTTTAAATATCGCAGTCTGAATTTTTAAAAAATATTACAGTTGCTGTATCTTTTTAGGTGGGCATTCAGGAATGTTGAAAACTAGGCAAGCAGTATCACTGCCTACCTAGCACTCTGCCCCATGGATTGTATCTTTCAATTTTTCCATTGCTTCAGCTAGTTTTTGTCATATTTGTATTTAGTTTTAATTTAATTATATTTGAATCTGATAATATAACCTAGAAGACTACTGTTTTTAAGTACTAGTTTACATTGTTTCATTTTTCTTTACATTCTATGGTTCAAAGAAAAGATTTTTTAAAAGCCTTTGTTCTATAGTATTCTGCTCTGATTCATACAGACTTCACTGGAAGTTCAGTATGTAGTTTGTATTTTCTCCTAGTCCCTATTCTCCATATTATCCTTTCAGATTAAAATCTCCAACACTTAATTGGAAGTACATCTATTTAATTTTGAAGTTCATATCGTCAGATATAATACTCATATTTCCAACTTCATCTTACTTAACAGACTAAATCGACCAGTGCTTTCTTCTTGTGCCATTGCTCTTCCTTTACAATCTCAGCATAATGGTCTCCTGTTTTCCTCCTGGATAATTTTACACATTTTAAAAATTTTAGTTCTAATAATTGGGGATACCCTTGACCTTACTCTTAGACTTTATTTTTCTGTTGTCTAGCCTATTTTCTAAAAAATACCATACAGTTTCTCCTGTCTTTAAGAAATATCACCCTATATATTATTTTAAATGACATTTACCTTATTTTGACTTCCAAGTAATTAAAATTAACCTTTCCACTGTTCTCCAAACTAGTACTTAATAATTTATTTTTGAATATTTTATAGGTATCTCATATTTAACATATTCTAAACATGCTTTTCTTTCTTTATCTATTAAGTCATATGGATCTTCTCTTGTTTTCTGCTTCTTATTAAGTAGAATGTCATCTGCCCAGTTGCTCAGAGCAAACCTAATTATTCCTTCTGAGTCCTCCCTTTCATTTATCTGTCATATCATATTTTTCAGCATGTCTTCTCTCTCTCTAGACTAGGTCCCTAACTACTTATTCTTTTGTCACCATGACTACTTCTGTTATGCAAATTATTATCACCTCATATCTAGAAAAATCAAATATCCTCCTGTCTTAGCTCCTCACTTTCCTTTACTATCTATGTCTTTCCTACCCAGTGTGATTTCCTCTTGATAAATCATGTAACTCCATACCTCAAAACCTTCAGAGGTTCCTATTGCTCTTATAATATGTCGCAAACTCTATATCATGGCCAGGGACTAGGGGATTATTTCCCATTGCCAATCCATATGTATTTGCACCTACTCTGTCCCCTGAGCTCTTGTGACTTCCCTTTAGTTGTTTAAAATATGTATAGCCTAAGCATCATCTTTATACTTTAGAAGCCTTTGCCAACATATCTTTGTGATGGCTTTAAACATATTATTGGGATATGAGCTCATATGTCACCTCTGTAGTCCTGATCTAAATTAGCCACACAATTACTTCATCATATCACTTTGGTTTTTCCTTCAGAACACTTACTACTGTTGAAAATTATGATACCCACTTAACAAGTACACCTGGTTGTTTCTTTCTCCAGTTATTAGAAAGCAAGCTGCAGGAGAATAGAGACTTTATTTTATTTCTTTGAAATTAATTTTTGGTCTGCTTGATCAGATGAATTCCAAAAGAGATATACATCTTAAGAATTTCTTCTGTAACTTCGTGTCAAATTCTGTGTGTCCAGACATTGTATTTCTACTTATTTTGACTGTATTTTTGGTGCTTGTAGGTGTATTATTGTGAAACCTTTTTTTTGCCTACTTTTTTTTAGCCTAGGTATTGACTGAATTTCACTTCATTTTAAATATTTTGTTCTGTGTGTTTGTTGTTATTGTCTTTTTTAGTTTCTCAAATTTTATTATTTTAATATATACATTTCACAAACAAAAACCCTCTTAACATCATGCACAGTTCCATAACAAAATGGTTCAACTTTATTAACATTTTTCAACTATTTACACTCTCTTCTATCAACAAAAGTGCACTTCAGTACAGCTTGACAAGATATACTTACCAACAATCTGTTTTGGGTTGATTTTGAAGTTGCCCATCAGTTATGTTTCCTTCCAATCTGGAATAATAATAAAGTAAACAGGACATGGAGATTAAATAGATTAGGCACCATCTTATTTTAGGAATCAAACACTGAAATAGAGCACTTTTTCCTCATCTCTTCCATAACCTCCAACTAAAATAGCTCAACAGGTGTTACCAGGAAACTAAATAGAAAAGCAAACTGGGGTTACCAGCCTAGGCATAGAACAGATTGCACTTAGTTTTGCACAACTAAATGAAAAATTTCAGCCAGTTAGTTTTTGTAGTCTAATAAGTTATGCATCAATCTGATAGTTTAGTGTTTTTTAAGTCTTTTATAATACTTCATATTTTAGATAAAATGTTTCACTGTTCTAGATAGATTTAGCACTGCAACCCAGAAAACAATTGATCTTCCTCATTTTAGAAAGCTATTTAATTTTCATGGTGTTATTACCTTGCATTGAAATCTGGGACAGATGTAGAGCTCATCTCTTTTGGTTTCAGGGATTAAAGTCCTCCTTTGTCACTTGATCATTGTCTGAAATTGATTGTTTTATATATTTTCTTTATTTTTTAATTGTTTAAAGCAGGAGAGAAAAGTCATCTCTGTTAGTCTATTTTGAGAAAAATGGAAATTCTGTTACATATATAAAAGATTTTCATAAAAGATTATTATAAGAAAATGACATTCCCTAGAAGAATAGTCAATACCTTAATTGTTCAGCTTCAACTATGTGAAACAACTTATATTGACCACCTCATTTATACATAATATAAAAATGTAATAAAGTGTATTATACCTATTTTATGCCATAAAAACATTTATAATATATGTTTTTATGTATGCACATAAAATATATACATATATATACACACATATATGTGTATATGTATAAATGTGTGTGTGTGTAAAATATATATATATATATATATATATATATATATATATATTTTTTTTTTTTTTTTTTTTTTTTTTGGTAGTGCTGCTGTGGATTGAGCCCAGGGCCTTGTGCATGCAAGGGAAGCCCTCTACCAACTGAGCTATATCCCCAGCCCTGCCATATATTCTTATACACATTAAATTTCTATTAATTCTATTTTTAATTCCGATTAATTATATATTTTATCCTCACATTATGTGATAGTTGCATTTATCATTACCATTACATATGGGAAAACTGAGATATGAGTAGATTACCTAGTTTTCTAAAATATACATGGCTAGTCAGTGAGCTATCTTTCAAAATTGGTTATTGTCTCTCTAGATGCGCCACTGTTGCCTAATACAGTCTATAATACCTCTTCAGGAGAAGTGTCACAGTGTAATCTCTATAATGTTAATTGAAATCAGGAACAGTTGTAGCTTTTTTGCTTATTTCACCTTTCACAATTATCTTTTGTTAATGTGATTTTAAAATTATATATTTTATACTTTGTTGGTGCGTAGCAAAATATTTGTATGTGAGTATGCCTTTTCCCTGGACAAGGGTATGGAGGGGAAAACCATTTTCTCAATTTCCTGTAATAAAGTTGAATTTTTGTTTCATTTCACAAGGAATTTTCAGTTGCATTAATTGAAAATGTGATTATTACTAGATGTAGAAACTCATTTGCATATTTTAGTTAAGCATATTTAATCTGTCATAGCATTTTACATAGAACTGTTAGCTCACATTCTTGAAATAATTTTATAACAGTTTTAACCACTCAATGTCATAGACTATGCAAAGACTATCATTAGTAGTTGAATATATTAGGCATTCTAGATAAAATTTTAATGCCAGCATATTTTTGATTATTAATAAGGAGATCCAACTGTCTTAAAGACTTAGAAATATTGTATTTATAAATGCCATAAAACTTCACCTCAGGTTTTCAAGAAGAACTTGGATTCTGTAAGTTTCAAACTTTCTTTCGTTTTGATTTTTCAGATCGCATTCTCACAACACAATACAATCATGGATCTTGTGCAGTTTTTTGTCACGTTCTTCAGGTAATTTGCTTTTACTGACTGAATTTGTCAATCTGTTAGATAATTTATCAATTATCAAACTTTAAAATATATACTATATTCTGAATAAGTATATAAATAAATCCTTACCATAGAGCAGGGGGAACATACTTCAAATATATACTTGTGCAGGATTATTTTAATGTTATACTACTAAATGGCTAATGGATTCCATGAAAATAGGATAACTTTGTGTTCCTGTCACATAAATAGTTAAATCATGCTTTAATTAATGAAATTAAGCATTTCAGGTACCACATGGATTATTTGCATTTACTAGAATTAAGTCAATTCATTTCTTTCTTAGGTAGTGTGCTAAAGCCTGTGATGAATAAGAAAAAGTATGTGTTTTCTGTCCTGAAGGAGTTTGTAACCCAGAGGTACTATAAATGATGCACAGAACGTCATTCTCCAGAACATGAATTATGTGAGGTATTAAGATAGGTTCATAAAAAAGGGTTCCATAATTAAACAGTTTTGGAAAATGCATATACTAAAATTAAAAATGGCTCTGTTGTTTGTTTTTCAACTGACATTACTTCTCAGAGCCCTTAATATGCCAACTTACAGTGCATCTTTTTGAAAGAGAGTGGTATTTTCAAGAATTTTTCATAAAATGAAAACTCTTTAGGGAACATTTATTTTCATTCCCAGCACTGGCTTAGGAGAGACTGAGTTTTAGCAGAAGAATATTCATGTTTTAAGATCTTAGAGGTGTTACTTTTGTAAACATTATTAGAGATGTGTTCAGCAAATTTTGATCCCTTAGATGCCTTTGTGCAAATTAGACAAATGCTTCTCCTCTGGCAGACAAAGTCCCAAATCATGGCATACAACTTGAAAACTGAATGCAGTGTGAATTATGAATCCCACTCACCAACTTAGCTGGGCTCTCTTACAGTGTAAGGAACCTATACAACTAAATTTGTAAGTTAGGCACTTTCCTAAACACTGAATAATCATTCTCTTAGGGGTTGTTAGATTCCCATACAGATCTTGAATTCCTGTTACCTTCTCCACATGAGTCTGTAAATTTATTTTCTTTGAAAGGCCAGATAGTAAATATCTCAAGATTTGTGGTCTCTACAGCCTGTTGCATCTACACAAAGTTCTTCCTCTACTGCTTAAGCAGCCAGAGCCAGTATGGAAATGAGTGGGAGTGGTGGTGATCCAATAAAACTTTATTATAAAACATCTGGTGGGGCTGAATTTGGCCTGTGGAAATAATTTACCCAGCCATTGATCTAGCTTATGTCTGAGTACCATTAATGACCAGAAACTCACCATCTCCTGTTATTGCATTTTCTATCATCAGATAACTAACTGTTCTTTATAATTGAGTGGAAATCTGTCTCTCTATAATATCTTATCTAATTCATCTATAGGGACCATACATAACATGTCTAATCTCTCATCTCCACTTACAGCCTTTGGATTTTTTAAATTCTTTTCTTCAATTTACATATTCCCTGTTCACATATCCATTTCTCTTACTAAAGTCTTTGTTGTGTTGGCCACTTTACTCTGAAAATAATGCTTGTCTGTGTCCCTTAAAATGATTAAATTTTTTTGTATTTAATATTTTTAACATATTTATTACTGATATGTGTCAAAAGTACATTCATTCTTTAAATGTTCCCTGAAAATGAAATGTGAGAAAACAAATGTAGTTGTGATTTATGATTTTATATTTCAAAATATATGAGTTTTAAGGCTATTAACAAAGATATACTGTATTTTTTTAGAAAGCACAAGAAGTTACAATTATTTAATATATCAAAATGAAACTACTTTTTGATGCAGAATGTTGTGGATAAAAATATACACTTACCTGAAAAGTTCAGCTAAGTGTAAAAAATTCACAAAGTTGAATATATATGTAAATGATTTAAATGTTTAGGGTTTTATTTTTAAGCTTTTGTATTTGTGTGCTTATTTAAGTTCAGTGCCTCTTTTATTAAGCAAAAGAAGGCTGGTATTAATGTTTTCCATGCCTTAGAGATAATCCTATTTATTAGGTTGTCACCATGGGCAAAGTAAAATAAAATATTCTAATCATTGTGTGAGATCAAATATATTTGATGGGTTTTTTGTCATTTAAATTTCTTCCAGTAGTGAAATGTAAATTAGACAATTTAAAAATCATTTCATTGTTAAGAGAATAACAAGGACAGAATATTTTTTTAAGTTTATTATTTATTTTTTAGAAGGCCACACTAAATTTAAGAGATTTAAACAGGTTAACATTCACAGATGCCTTTCAGTCAGGCCATCTTTGCTGCTATTGCTCTTTCTAAGCTGGTTTATGGGTAACAAGGACGAGTTAATGTGTCAGCTTTCAGTTTGGTCATCGTTCCATGGAATCAGTTCTCAGACTCTATGCCAGTGTTTTACCTCTGTACTGTCAGAGTTCTAGTGGTAAGCATCATTGGGCTGGTACTGGAGAGATCATTCACAGACATAGCCTGGCTCCAGTTTTAGTGTTTTATTCCATCTTCATTTGGTCACCTAGCTTCTCTTTTCACACATAGAATTAAAGGGGTTTTGTTGTTGGTTCTAGTGAGGGTGTGCAATATAATGTAACAAATAATTACAAAACTGATGAGAATTGTTTATCTTCAATAGCTTTTTAGTTGTATAAAATGGAAAAGTGCCTGAATCTGAAAAGTCTGAATTATTTACCTAAAAAAATAAATGGAAATATGGTAAATTTTCAATGGTGGCACTGTTTTTCACTATACCACTTAGTACTGTTGTGATTAGGAGGGGCAGTTTCAGAGATTGAGATTGGTTTTTCCCCACTGTGCTTCATCTAATTGTAAGAGCCATGAACATAATACAGTGATTACTCCAACTACTTTGTACATAAGTTCTAAATACACACTTAAGGACTGGGGAAATTATCACTGGATGGATTCACAGACACAGTTGGTCCACTATGAGCAACCATCTGTTACTTGCTTCCCTCTACCACCCCACCCCCACTGCACCTTGACCCCCAACCCTAATAAGGTGCCATTATGACAATTTGAGTCAATGGGTATGTGTGTCACTTCTGATCTCATGTCTACTAATAGACAAAATGATTGTTTATTCCCCTTGCACCATTTATATAGCAATGTATATTATTGGATATATTCTCAAGTTTGTGGCATTAAGTCTCTTCAGGGATCATTTTATAAATTTTTCAAGACGTTTTAGTGTTTTTCCTTCAGATCCAGCCACCTGTTTAGTCAGTGGATTCTGGATTTGAAAATTAAGTCTGAGAACTGAGCAGAGAATCATGACTTTCCATTGAAGCAACCACCTTCAACTTCCTGTTCCACCTTCCTTGCTTAATGGAAAACTAGACACCCCAAAGCACCATTGTTGGCTGACTACCTATTTCACCTCTCAAGAAACCATGCTTTATTAATCATCCCTACAATTCTTTGTGGACCAATCCCCTTGGCAGCACCTACATTCTTGTTAATTTAATTATGGTAATTATGGCTCCTGAGTCTGGCAGTTAAGCATTGACATCTGTCCTTTATTACTCTGGGCACCCATGTCCCTCACTTCATGGCAATTAACAAATCTATCCCTGTGACTGCCTTTCCTATTTTCAGCTCTAGTCTACAAAAGGAAGGCAACACTAAACTTCTTTATGATACTAGTATCCTTCTCATCAGTATATTCCTAATGATCTTGGTGAATGGTAAGGCCTCCAGGCCTTCATGAAGCTGAACTGCTCCATAGTCCTTTTGGCCTTATATAATATATCCCATTCCAGCATATTTCCTGTCTCTTGTTTTTTTTAATCCCTTTCTCTTCTATCTGCTGGGGCAACTCAGGTGTTTCACTTTCACTTTGTATTGGCCATTGACTTTTCCAGGCTTCTAATAGTCACTCCATAACAACTTTTTACCATTTTTTCTGGAATCCTCAATAGGTCATTTCATCTCTTATGTTCCTGAAAATATGCACTAAAATCAATGAATTTTTGTTTATTCAATCTTATATTCTATCTCACTTGGTTAAATATCATACAAATGCAATGGCTCTTGCTAGTATAGCTGGCTAATTCTTGCAGCTGTTTCAAGTATACACTCTCTTTCTTCTTTTCTCAGGCTCAACTGGGTTATGTAGTGATTTAACCTTTCCCATTGCTCAGGCAGTCAGGAAAGGAAGTGGGGATAGCCTCTGAGGGAACAACTGTTGCCTCAGATTAAAAAGGGCTCTCAGTGTCTTCTAGCATGGCAAAATATTGGTTATTGCTAAGTTAGGGATCTGTAGAAACAACATCTTCAGAAGCATACATCCAAGATATTCCATATTTCACTGCCCATGGTCTTCCAAACCATGGCCCTTACCTTTATATGACAGAAATGCTTTGAGAATTCTGTCATCTCTTGGGCTCCACTGCTCTAACAAATGAGCTTGCTGATCATCCATGTTGGCTCCTTTGTCAGGAATAAGAACCTCATTTGAAGTTAAGAGACCCTATTTTGCAGGGGCTCAGTCCCTGGGAAACAGATGAGGTATCCTGGCAGGTAAAAGATGTGAGGTGCAGATGGGATAGTAGACATGCTTTATTTGGAGATAACCGCAGCCCCAAGTCCTCAGCCTTTATCCTCCAACCCCATGAGTCTTTCCATAGGTGTTTTTAATATGCAGGCCAGACACAAATGGCACATTGCCAACAGGTTGCATAAATGAGTGCTTGCTCACAAGAGAATATTTTATGGCCTTGAGTACATACACTGAATTAGGGTGTTCATGACTTTGGCTACATACTAAAAGCAAAGTCCGCTAGAAGCCTCTGTGAGGGAGCCTAACTATAACCATCTCGGGCCTGCCTTATAGACAGGTTTAATTGGTTTAGCTAGTCATGTTTGTTAATGGCCTTCTCTCAGTTTCCCTATGAAAGTACCAATGCACAGCAATAAATCAATTATACTTTCTTTTGAAGGTGTTATCCCCATCTTTCAAATGCCTAAACT